TTACCCCAAAATGTCGTCATTTTCCCCTTAATCGTTTTTACGACGAAATTTCGTGTTTTATATCCCGATCGGGATACTACTTTTTTTCTATATCCTGATTGGGATATAGCTATATCCCGATCGGGATATATATCCCGATCAGGATATAGGAGGTGTCCCCTTACTGTCTGTATCAGAACTAAATTCGCTATAGTGTTTCTCATCTTCTCTTCATTCTACTAATAAACTTACTCAAGCACAATCAAGTAACTGTTTGACATTCAATATACACATCACAAGATTCACAGATTACTACGATCTTTTTGATTAGACTTTAAGAGCAAATTTCTAAGGTAATTTTGTTAAAAACACATTTTTCTTGACAAGTATTTCTAATCTGTCTTACTTGCATTAGAAATAGTAAAAAATGCCACCAAAACGAAGAACTCTGCTGGGCAGGAGTACGTCAGCTGCGAATAGAATGGCAGCCTCAAGAGATGCTGAGAGTCTAGAGCGCAGACAAACTCGGCTTGATGATCAACGTTCAAGACAAGCGGCTTCAAGAGACGCCGAGAGTCCAGAGCAGACACGGACTCGAATTGACGATCAACGTTCAAGACAAGGTGCTTCTCGAACAGCTGAGAGTCCAGAGCAGAGACAAACTCGGCTTGGCCACCAACGTGCAAGACAAGCTTCCTCAAGAGACGCCGAGAGTCCAGAGCAGACACGGACTCGAATTGACGATCAACGTGCAAGACAAGCAGTCTCTAGAGCAGTCGAGACTCCGGAGCAGAGACGGACTCGGAGTGAAGATCAACGTAAACGACAAGCAGCCTCAAGAGCAGTACATTGGACATTCATGGAAGGGGAAGCGTTTCGCTATGATCCAGCTAACAACTACGACAGCCATCCTCAACTTCATACCAAGCAGCTTTGCAGGACAGTTTCTCTTAAATAAAAGTAGTTTTAAAAGAAAATTGAAAAGAAAAAAGATATTTATGAAAATCTCAAAATATCAAATACTAAAAGTTGAGAAGGAAAAGATCCAAGTGTATTGTGCGATATCCCCGATCGGCAATCCATAGAAGACCATAGCGACGTCGTCTTCGCATACATCAAACATGTATTATCAAATTATCTAGACCGACATCGGGTACTTCCGCTAGTATCTAATAAAATTGTACGTTTCAAGTGCGACTTTTTTTGGTATGATTAACAGATTCAATTTTGCGTTTCTGTCGGCTGGGCATTTCGTAAAAACATGCATACAGTTTTGGTATAACTTATTTGAAGACGCCAAAGTTTACAATATTCACAGATTTTATCACAAAAAAGCTGTAAAATTTTCTCACCATGTACACTATTAAAACAAGCGCAAAAGGCAGCGATATCGTCGGCGAATAGAGAAAGACGTATGCCGGGAGTGAAACAAAAGGAAGGAAGATCTCGGATGAAAAAGTTGGAGAGAAAAGGTGAAAGAATACTTCCTTGCGACGTCCCGTAAGGGCAGTTGTACAGTTTAGATGACACATTCGAAATTTGTATGAAATATTTTCTGTTTTTGAAATAAGAATGTAAAATATTAAAAAGACGGTGAGGACAGTTTTTACTTTTTAATTTAAAAAGGAGGGCATTACGCCATACCTTGTCAAACGCTTTTTCGAAATCGATGAAAAGTCCCGCCGTACGTTGACTTTTGTTGAAAGCTGTTTGAGTTTGTTGAATGAGGTTCAAAATCTGGTCAGTTGTACATCGACCTTTACGAAAGCCGCTTTGTTCGATCGGGATTATTTTGTTATATGTAAACCAATGAGTCAATCTTGACTCAATTAAACTTTCAAAGAGTTTAGATAAGTTACATAAAAGGCTTATTGGGCGGTAACTATTTGGATCAGTTTTGATTTTATCTTTTTTTAATAGCATTCGAATTTTTTGGGTTTTCGAAACGTCAGGAAATGTGCTGGACACCTAGAGAGAATTAAAAAGAAAACAAATAATAGGTAGAAAAACTAAAGGAAGATGTTTGACAGCTACACTAGGGATGTTGTCGTTTCCGACTGAAAGTTTTGGTTTCATGTTTTTTAGTGCGAAAAAAATTTCAAAAATAGAGAAAGGAGACTCAAATTGTGATGGAAGAAGGGAGGAAGAAAGAGAACTTCTCTGATTTACGGCTATCTTGTTAACTTGATCTTCTATATCGTCGAAAAAAGATTTATCAAATTCAGCAGAAGGAAGAAAGGCGTGTTGGAGAGATTCGCCGAGAAGATTGGCTTTCTCAGTGTTATCTGTTATGAATTTATTGTTGTTCTTTTTCAGTACTTTTATTTCTGATGTTGAAACAGGATCCATACATTTACGAATTCATTTCCAAAATAACAGATCATTCTGATTATTAGTCTCCGAACAGAATTTGCACCAACTCAGTTCTTCCACCGCGGATATCTCTCTACGTATGATTTTATTCAGCCGACGTACTGAACTTTATATTCAAGCAGCCTGGTTTTTTGATATTTTCGAAAAATTTTCCTTTTTTCCCGGATTAAACCGCGTATAAATGCTGGTATGGCTATGCGATATTTGGATAGATTTTTCTTCGTAAACGTGGCCTTATCATATGCATCAGCGATAGCCTTAGTCACTGAGTTTGTCATAGATTCTGGGTCAGACGAATTAGATACAGTTCGATAAAGTGAGTTAGATACGATGGAAAGTTCACGCTTAAAAACATCCCAATCGGTATGTTTGACTGAGAAAGAGTTAGAAATTGGAGAGACAGAGGTGTCGAGCGAAAAACAAAAATCCACACAAATTGGCATATGTCCCAAATTAGACGATTGAGATAACACATTAAAAGAGGTGAAGAACTTCACTAAATTTGAAGATATGAGTGCAAGGTCTAGTATATTTTTAGAAAGTACATTATTGCGTATGTAGTAATGGGTGGGAGTGTCATCGTTGAGAAGAGCGATTGTTTCACTATCCACATGCGATTCAATATGGACACCGTGAGGGTTAGAAATCACATGCCCCCATAATTTGCTTTTTGCGTTAAGATCCCCGAGAATAAGGCACGGAGATGATTTTACCATAGTGTCAAACAGATTGTTGTTGAAATGTAAATTTGGTGACGCATAGTATGTATACAATTTGAGATTTGGAAAGACGCCTTGGGAAACTCGACACCGAGTACTTCGTCTGGGAAAGTTAAATTCAGGATGTTGAAAGAAATAGGTTTTTAACCGCCACAAGAACACCCCCGCCCCTTACCTTAACACGTTTTTTGAAAATATACTTAAACTCAGGAAAGAATGTAACAAACAAGTGCTCATCAAACGTAAAAATCTCGTTTAGACAAAATACTTCAGGTTTCATTAGCTGAATAAGGTCAACAAGTTCAGTGAGACGAGCTTTGAAACTGTTTATATTTTGACACATAAACTTACTATTCATGGTTTGTTTACTTGACTGTCACCACCATTTGAGCGGTTTGTAAGAATGCTTGTTGGGTTAGATATTGTAAGGTTACCATTTGAGTAGGGTTGAGACATTGATGCGGACAATGTTGTCTGCAGTTGTTGTGCTGGGTATGGATAAACATTTTGATTCATAATTGGTAATGAATTAAACGTATTCATACATTTTGATAGATCATTCTTTATTTCAATATTTTGGTCATTTTTATTAATGTTGGAACTAGTTGTTGAATGAATTTATTTAGGTGAACGTGCGCATTGCTGATCATTTGATTAAAGTAAACCAACTGAGATTTAAAATTTTCGGTCAGTATCGCGATATCAGGTTTTAAGGAATCCACGGTTATACCAACAGATGAGACTTGTTTTAAAATGTCTTCATTAATCGATTCGTTTCTGTTAGTTAGTTGTGATGATTGAGGTTGAACGATGGCAGCGTACGATCGACGTTGCTGTTGAACCGATGTATCCATTGCAATACTACTGAATTGTTTATTTTTCAGTTCATTAATGTACGATAGTCTAACTTTGCACGCGGGATAAGAAACTCTGTGATTATCACCACAGTTTGGACAAATCTCTGTACTAGAGCTACACTTATCAATTGCATGTGGTCCACTACATTTAGAACATTTTAGTAAATTAGTACAGTTAGCGTAGTGACCTAATTCTTGACACTTAAAACAACGAATTATTTTGATAGGTTGGATATAATTAGCTGGAAATTCGAATGGCGTAACGACTAATTTTCGTTGCGCTAATAAGCGATCACGACACGTTTCCGACGAAACATCGAGACGAACTACTGACGAAGGCTTATCTAGGGCGGCGTTTCTGATACGATGGATAGCAGTAACTTCACTTTCTATTGCTTGAATATCACTTAATAAATCTTTTTCATCGATAGAACTATCAACAGATTTCAATATTAAACTAAAGCTTTTGATAATACCGCGCGGTGAGCGATTATTACAGTTAACACCCGTACCAAATATTTGTTGCGGACAGTTATTTAGTAAAAGGAGGGGGCCCGCTTTTCATTGATTTTGGCCCACTGCTTTTCCGACCTAGTCTTGATCACATTTTGTAGAGAAAACGATTTTACACATTTTCATGTGCATATCTAGCATTATAACCTTATGGT